AGAGGACTTAAGTAACGTTCCTGAGACCACAGATACAGGAAGTGTTGAGACTGGCTGATGGATTCTCCATCACTTGTGACTTCCTCCGTCTGTGGGAGAAGGATGTCTCTAGCCTGCTGAGACACTGTAAGGGGTAACTTTGCCTCTTGTCCTCAGTTCTCTCTTTACTGAATTAAATTTATTGAGCTCCTATTCTGGGCACAGGAATGCTTGCACAAAGGTATGAAAAAAAATGTTTTCTCTCAAAGAGTTGATGGCACAGTTGGGAAGACAAGAAAAGTTAAGAGCTTACCACATACCAGGTTCCTCACACAGGGCATTCCAAAATTCTTACTATGAGGAAATTGAAGCTTAGAAAGTGACATTGATTGTCAATGTTTTCACAGCTGGAAAATGATGAACCTGAGAGGCCCCAGCAGGTCTGTCTGACTTCAGGCCCCATGGTCTTTCTATCCCTCTTACTAGCCTGGAAACCTACACAAAACAGTCCAGGATGAAGATGTGAGCAAGGAAATAATGGCAGCCAACAAATGACAGATCAGGCTCAAACTGGCTTCCACAGAGATGGGGGACCAGATGGGCTGTGTTTCCACTGGTTTGGGAAATGAATATTCAGTTATCTTGTTTAACCCTCCTAGCGACTCTACAAAGAAGGCAGCATTTAGGGTCTACTCAATGTTTCTCAACCAGGGGAGTTTCTGTCCCCCAGGAGATATGTGCCAATGTCAGGACACATTTCTGATGGTTACAGGTGGGGTTGGGTGAAGGAGTACTATGGGCTTCCGGTAAGCAGAGGTCAGTAATGCTGCTAACATTCAACAAGTCCTCAGGACCGTACTTCCACCAAATGAAGAGTTATCCTACCCCTAATGTCAGGTTGAGAAACCAGCTATACTTGATGACAAAGAGGTTTAGAGATTTTTTTGGCCACACTTGTAGTAAATGATGGCGTCAGAATTCTTACTTAGATCACCTGTTTCCAAGCCTAGTGCCCTTCCTATTCAACCACAATGCCCTCTTTTTGGGCAGAGGAAATGTAATTGGAAAAAGTATTTCCAGCAACTGGGTTATGAGGAGCATTCAAATGATTTCCCTATCTTCTTAGGATTATCCTACTGTTCCCAAGTGGGTGGCTGTAGTAAATGAGGGGATGCCCTGTCTCGATTTCCCCTTTCAGTGGAAAGTCAAGCATTCTCCCAGCTACTAAGTCCCTCGCCCTAGCCCAAGAGAGCCATGGACCCAATGGCAAGCACCTGGTAGCTGTGGGTATAAAGGCCAGGTTTCCTTGTCTCAAGACAGGACATTCTGAAGGGCAGTCCCACCTGTAGGGTTCATTGGCAGAGGTCTCTGAATTAACTTCTCCCTTTCCCTTCTCTTTCTTTAAGTTGTTATTCCCCCAATAAACCCCTAAACACAGATCTCCATCTCAGAGTCCACACTCTAGAAAAATTGGTCCAAGTCACTAGATGAAACTGCTCAGTTAAGGACTATAATAGTGCAGTGTAGCAGTAAGTAAAGAAGATCCTAGAAAAACTAAATACATGCTATGATACCAATTAAATGTGAAATAAGACAGCATTAGTGATTAAAGTCTTCAGATCCAGAGTGAGATGAAACTGAGATCAAACACAATTTCCATAAGTACTAGCTATGCAACCTTGAACAAATTATATGAGAGAGCTTTTTCAATTGCAAAATGGAGACAATACTAAAGCCTACATTTTGGACTACTATGTTAAGAGTACATACAGAATACTTAGCTCTTTCACAAAAAAAAAAAAAGGCTGGAAGAAAATCTGTTATAATGTGAATGCTCAGAATCTCTGAAGGTGGAGGTTACAGGAGAGTTTTATTTTCTTCTCAATTCTCTGTATTTGCTAAAATGTCTACCATTAACATATTATAAAGGACAGTAATGGTTGCAGCAGCCTTGCCTCCATCCCAGCAGTACCAGTACCATTGGGAATCCATGTGGTCCAGAGACACTGGCTCCATGATCCACTGCTACCATGACCAGGGCAGAGCTGGTAACTGAGACTAATCAGCTTGGTTGGGTCCTGGTAGCCCCAGAGATCGTTTCAGGCATGGGCACATGACCTAAGTCATTTCAATCTGGATTCTTGCTTGGAATAGTGAGACAGAGGAGGACACTCTGTCGCTTGCTATAAATGAAGGACTTGTCTTAGTTGCTATTGATAACCATTTTGTGACCACAGCCTTCTTTAGAATACAGTGGTTACCTGGGAGAGCAGGGCGGAGAAAGGAAGCAATCTTCCCTAGTGACACCCTTGACTCCTGAATCAAAAGACATCCTATCTCTAGATTTTTCAATCACATGAATAAATTCTCTTTATTGGTCAAGCAAATTTAAGCTGGATTTCCCATTACTTAAAATATAAAGGTTGTATGAGAGAAGGATGTCCTTGGCATTTTGAAATACTTGCATTATTTTTATAGTCAGATTTAATTGAAAGTATATTAAGAAACCCAGTTCCTTCAGAGGGCCCAGGTCAAGCCCTCCTCCTCCAAAAGCTGTCACAGAGCGCACTGGTCCAGGTGGACTTGCCTATCAGCGAATGGCTCCACTCCTCGTTGCCTGGATGCTCATCTGACATTAAATGAACTCATGCCTTATATTGCTCTCTGTCCCAGGTGTATATATTTTGTCTTCCTAGTGAGTCAGAAAACGACTTGAGAGTAGGGGGTCATGTCTTATCATCCTTTCATAAATCTCACAGTGCCATTTTATAGATCCCACAGGGTCATTTTTCTCTGGTCTCCCATTTATGAAAAGTCTCGATTTGGACTTTAACATTATTGCAAAAAGAGTTTAGACAAATACTTGCACCTTGTGATTTAGGCACATCAATTTGTCAGTAAGCACATTAATTTGTGAGTAAAATGACTGACATACAATTTCCATTATCTTATTTAGATCTATCTATCTGTCTGTCTATCTACCTGTCTGTCTAATTGAGCTATCTTTCTATTTATAGTATGTAATTACACCCAATCTATATCTTCCTATCTCCAGAAATTGAAGATGTCCTCTGAGACATCCTTGGGACCGAGCATGGTGCCAAGGATGGTGTAAGGGACAGGAAATGACACAGTGCAGGTTTTCTGATCCCATGCAGACCAGGTAAAGGAGGAGTCAGAGTACTCCGTGACTTTTTGCAGGTCTTTTATTGGGGTTCACCAGGCATATGGCAGGCAGGGGTGCTGGGGGGCCGGGAGGCTGGCAGTCCTCCCAGCCCCCAGCAAATCCTCACTCTATCTGGGCTCTCCGGCCTTCTCTGCTTCTGCTGCTTCTTCTCTGCTTCTCTCTCGGCTTCTTTTTCAGCTTCTGCTGCTGCTGGCGTCCTGTGATACCGTCCTTAAAAAGCCCAGTCTCAGCCCAGGTGAATCCCATCCACCTATGCCCACACCCTACTCCAGGTGCCCGCCATCAGGCATGCATTCAGGACCGCAAGGATCCATCATCTATCCTGATGGAGGGCAGAAAAGCCTGACATTTTTCCTTTACCCTACAGTCCACCCCCTCAGGGTTTTCTGCCATATAGACTTCATACATACAATTTTCCTTAACAAACACTGCAGCCATGGCCCACAAAAGCAAATACATCACAATATAACAAAATACAACAGAACACAAATAAGTCCAGGCAGGGCACCAACCTAGTGGCAAAAGACAATTATTGGTACCAGCAGATGAGCCACCAAATCTGCTGCCGAAGGCACTGCTCATACGAGGGAGGGGAACCACTCATGGCATCTACTGTAACACGCCAGGAGCCGTCAGGCTTCCTGTTCTTCTCTGGCTGTAGACTCGGCTACGAGCCACACACAGCATCCACCCCCAGGATGCACTAGCTCTGGGATTGGCGATTCTATTCCGTTGGGGTAATCGCCAACCCTCAGGGTTTCTGTCTGCTGTCGCTCCAACACTCGGCCTTCATAGCCACCCATGCGACACGCAGACCCCTGCACTCAGGCCAACCCACTGCACAAGCACATGGGTCGGGGATCCTTGGATCCAAACTCTACATTCGGCTTGGGCTCCACCCCAAGCCACGTTCCCCACCCATTCCCCAAGGATGGGTTCCTCAGCTCCTCACCCTCACTCGACAACGAGCAGGGCATCACCCACGGGTGATTTTACGAGACTCACTGGCCTTCCTCAGCTTACTTCATGCTTAACAGCCACTCAGGGCTTCCCAAACTCAGCATCAGTACCAGCTTTTGCCTTCTCAGTTGGATTTTCTCCTCTGCCTGGCTGCTGGGCATACATAGGCTGCTTTTGGCCACCAAGGCCCACTGGCCACCCCCAGATTCCCATCTCCTGGGGTTTATAAATGAAACTGTTCCACCCGCAGGGTCCCAAAAACATATCAACCTGCAAGTTCCTCCGCCTTCTGGTGGGATTGTCAGTCCAAATCCATTAGTCCAAGTCCATCAGGTCTCTCCCTGCATCAGCACTGGCGAGCTCCGAATCATGGTCCTCTCTTCCGACGATTCTTGATGCCTTAGGGGTCGTTAGCTGGTCCTCTCGGGCGTCTCCTTCACTCAAGGTCTCGTCCTGTAGCTTCCTGACCTTGTCCATCTCCTGTGCTGTCGTGGTGCCTCCAGCGTTGTCACAGGGAAACAGTCTGTTACTCCTTAGTCCCTCCAGGTCTTCGGAGGACTCCATACCCGTCTGCATGGATCATCTTGCTGACTTATGCCAATTGTAGGGACAGGAACGGGCACAGTGCAGGTTTTCTGATCCCATGCAGACCTGGTAAAGGAGGAGTCAGAGTCCTCAGTGGCTTTTTGCAGGTTTTTATTGGGATTACCAGGTACACAGTAGGCAGGGGTGCTGGGGGGCCGGGAGGCTGGCAGTCCTCTCAGCCCCTAGCAAATCCTCACTCTATCTGGGCTCTCCAGCGTTCTCTGCTTCTGCTGCTGCTTCTGCTGCTTCTTCTCTGCTTCCCTCTCGGCTTCTTTTTCGGCTTCTGCTGCTGCTGGCGTCCCCATAACACCGCCCTTAAAAAAGCACAGTCTTAGCCCAGGTGAATCCCATCTACCTATGCCCACACCCTACTGCAGGTGCCCACCATCAGGCATGCATTTAGGACCTCAAGGATCCATCATCTATCCTGATGGCGGGAGGACAGAAAAACCTGACATTTTTCCTTTACCCTCAGATGTCATTTCCAAAGTTCTGTTCTCAGAAACCGAAGGAGACTTAGTGGTTGTCTAGTGCAACCTTTCACTTTTTAGTTGAACAAACTGAGGTCCACTCAGGCAGAACTACTAGTCCAAACAGCACTGTGGATTTGTGGTAGATCTTGAACTCACATGTTCTCGGTAGCTAGATAATAAATGCTCATTAAATTGAATAAAACCATACCAGTGGAATTATCTACAGAGTGTTATGCAAATTCACCTTGAAAGGTGTTCCACAAATGCTTCCATAAGAGTTTTACAGCAAGTTCAAAGTTGTTAACTCATTTTTCAAATTGTCCCAGGCCCCATATGATATAGAGCACTAGGCTGATGCAGGAAGGGATTTTTCTCCACTAGTCAGTCAGGTGGCTTATTTCAGCCCCCGGAGTAGCTGTTAATCAGGTTTCAATAGACTTCAGCGTTTCACTCAGAACCTGTTGGCAATCCTAAAACTCTACTGATCCTGTCATCTCTGTAAAATGAGCTCTGGCTATGGCCCCATCCGTTTTCAGTTTTATTGAGGGATCCCTTCAGAACAGTTCCTGCTGCAGCATTAATGTGGACCTCAGCAGGGACCCCCTTTTTTACCCCGAGCTGCTCTCTCAGGGTACAAAATGATGTGCTCCCACTCCCAGAGATTTAATAGCATCAAGGCAAGTTTTTAATGTGCTCTTTTTCCCTCTGCCAGTCCAGTCCTTCCCAAGCATAGTCGTGACTGTTTGAGCTACCCTCCTCTGGGGTTGTCAGATCCTATCCAACTTTTCCTCTAACACCTTTGCAGAAAATGCTCCTGTCTTGCTTCTTGATTTTTATCAGACCTATGGAATCATTTCTGTAACACTTCTGTATCCTTCTATCCCAACCTCCCTTCCCAGGCAGATCTAACACAAATATCATCTAACACACTGGGCAATAGCTATGTGCTCAATTCAGACCTAAGCAGATAACATTATTCAAACTCACAACCGCCTTACAATAGGTGTTAATATTAGTCCTTCTTAGTTGAAGAAAGTCCTTAAGGGACCCTAAGTAATTGGTGCAAAGTCACACTATTGAAAAATACTGGTTTGGGATTTTTGAGCTGACGTAGTTCAATTTTAGGGTTAGACCCTTTGTGGCTATGCTATACTACCTCTAAGCTTACAAAATTGATTCTCTTGGAATATGCTTTTCCACCCACAGGCAATTTACTAACAAGCCTCCTGGCTAACAGGATATCTGTCACACACGTAGAACCAATGGCTCTCTATGGAAAACACTGGACACCAAAAAAAAATGTTTTCCCCAAAATATTAAGAGTGCTACAATAGAGTGCTACAAAAATATGAGGGATACTTGTGATGTTGCAACTGTAAGTATCTTAACTGCACTGGAAAAAACACAAGTGATAAAACTGTTTAGGACTTAATACATACACGTACACAAATGAGTAGCAGTATAGTGGGAAATCTGAATAACATGATGGGTAGCACTAATGTCAGTAGAGATAAGTGTTTACCAGGAAAATCACACTGAAGTGTTGTCATCCTTTCCTCCCCTAGAGTTTTGTGAATACTTTATCTTCATTAAAGATGCTAAAGATTTTCATATGTCCCAACCTGATCCAGCCTGGTGGGCACTGTCTCCCAATTCCCTTGACTGTGTTGTTCTTTTTCTGAGAACTCCAGGCCTGGGGAAGAAAGAGCTGACGCTGGCTTCACTGCCTTCCCTGCCTGGGTTAAGGATCACCTGTGATACTAATAATTGTTGTCTTTGGTAACTTCGTCTTGAACAGTAACAAAAGGTATAAATCACCCCCAAGGCTCTTAATTACTCCCATTAACAGTTGCTTTGTTATCCCGAATGCGGAGCAGTTTCCCTGCTCTGTGAGTACACACTGTAAGTACAGAGCAACAAGCCTGGCTTCAGGCCAGGAGTTAAAATAAGTTATGCTAAATGATGGCTCAATTGTTCCCCTGGTCTCTCTCTAGGTTTGGGGGATGTGGGCTTAAGTGAGCCAACAATATAGGAATCTGGGGTCTGTGCGTCTTCTAGAAGTTCCTTGGGATATTGCGCTGCCTCTCACCAGGGTTATTTCCTTTTTTTTTTTTTTTTTTTTTTTCTTTTCAAATTTTTTTTTTTTTTTAAATATTAAATTTTATTTTTATATTCCCCCATACAATTGCAAACGCCCCATTCTGACCCAATCCTTCCCCTCCCGCCCCCCACCCCCCAAAAAGTGTCTCTGGTTCATAGTTTTTTTGTTGATTTTGATTTTCACTTTCTTATATTCATTTTCCTGGTCCCTTATTTAAGTTTTCTAGATTCCTGCTATGAGTGAGACCATCCGGTATTTTTCTTTTTCTTTTTGGCTTATTTCGCTGAGCATGATCCCTTCCAGTGCCATCCATGTTGCTGCAAATTATTTCCTTTTTCTAATCTTTCTTAGTTTCGCTTGAAGCATCAGTGTTTTCTTCCTCATTCCCTCACCTGATCCTACCCTGCGCCATTACAAATCTTCCTTCTTTTCTATAACTGGCAAAAATGAGGAGTAAAATTTATGAAGAAAGTCCAAATAAGAAAGTGAGCTGCCCCGTTGGATTTTTGGACCTGAAAGGCAGGAGATTTTCAATTCTTCTTTTTAAGAAACTGCCACAGTGCTGGGTTTCCTGCGTAATCAAATCTCAGTTCCTCAGTGAGGTGTCCAAGAAGCGCCAGGATGTGGGGGCACACCTCCCTTCAAGCTTTCAGCCCTCTGCCATCCTTGAACATGCAAGATACTTCAGAACACAGGCTTCGGAGAGAGAAGACAGGGGTCTGACCCTGCACATTCACTTCCTTACTATGTGACCTGGAACTGATCGTTTACACCCACTGAGCCTCACATGCTCCACATGTACCCACCTCATAGATCAGGATTAAATGAGATGATACATGCAGTGCCTAACACAGTTGGCACAAAATCAGTTCTTAATAAATGGGAGCTGCAGCCATGGTGATGGTAAGAATCTGAAAAGCGTGCCCCATGACTCCTGAAGATTTTTTCGGGTCACCAGTCCCCTGCCCCACTCCTCTTATCTTCACCCAAGCTTCTAGAGCTTGTGCTAAGCCTCTAAGTTGGATCTTCCTTCATTCCATGTTGAATTCTGTCTCCCCTACTAGATTTTACAGTTTTTGAAGACAAAGATTGTACCCTACACGTTTAAGGAGTAGATGAATAAATAATAAAGCAATGGCTGATTACGAAGAAATATAAGTGAAGTGAACACAGGCCATTTAGAAATAATGAAGATTTTCTCAATATTCTGATGTACCAAGAGTCTCAAAACTGAGTCTTACTAAGAAGTCCTTAAAGAATTTATTCAGTAGCAACAAGTATGCCCCCATTTTATTTCTTTCTCCTCTGGAAGGAGTCAAAATCTCCTTGTAATTTATTAAATTAGTCAAAACTAGATCAAAGGGCCACCCCTTGCTTGGAAACCAACTTCACATTTCCCGAGGATTAAGGACTCCCCATCTTTAACACTGAAAAATATCCAGCAATCCCCATCAAGCATATGAAAAAAATCCAAGCCATGTTAATGGAATCCAAACTAAAAATCTCCCTCTCTCCCTCCTTCCCTCTCTCTCTCTCTCTCTCTCACACACACACACACACACACACACACACACACACGCACAAGTGAAGTCATCAAAATCCTAACAGTGTTTATCTCTGGATAGTAAGAAAAATGTTAACAAGAAAGAGTCCTATGAGAGGACAATAAAGACTCTTAGATAGAAATGTGCTGAAGCCACAAGTCCAAATTTTCTAGGACAGTCGGATTTTGAATACTTGAATCTGCTTACCCCAAAGTATACTCTTATCTACTGTGTTGTGACTAACTTGGTGAGAAGCGCCTTTGTAAACCTCAGTCAGCTAGAAAAGCATGCCCTAAAGAGAGATCATGGTGTGCAGTCCCAACTCATGCAACACATTCACATATTAGCAGTTGTCTGCTTGTTGGGTACTTGGGAACAGTGAAGAGATGTTCTTCCCAGGTGAGTACTGATGTACATAGTTGAAATAAACAGAACTCATGATCCTACATTCATTATTGTCACATCATAGCCACCTGCCAGGAATAACATCAAATGCCTGCATCATCTCACCCAACTTCCTAACAACCCTGTGCTAGAAATAATTACTTTTTTCCATTTAACACATAAGCAAGCAGAAACTTAGAAAAGTTATCATCAGAGAAAACATTCACTTCTCTATATCCTACTTTAAAGTAGTTCATGTGAGAAAAATATAGACAATTAAAATCTTTTGTGGAAGCAAACTCTGAAAATATCTGGCAATAAAATTACAAGTTAAAAGTAAAAGGGGAGGGCCTCCCCGGTGGCGCAGCGGTTGAGCGCTGGGTTGCGAAGCTGCGCGCGGCCTCTGCGGCGCCGGTTCGATCCCCGGCTGCTCCCCGGCCACCAGAGGAGGGTCCCACATGGCGCGCAGACCTCTCCTGCCGCCCGCTGCTCCCCTCAGCAGTGTACTTCGGTCCTTCTGCCTGCTCTGCTCCCCGCTCTGGCTCTGGTGAATTCTCTCGCCCTCCCGCGCTTCTGACTGTACCCAGTGCATGTATAAACAAAACAAACAAACAAACCAGCAAACAAATAAATAAAGCATGCCTCTATAAAAAAAAAAAAAAAAAAAAAAAAAAAAAAAGTAAAAGGGGATGTGGAGAAAGACTACCAAGGTAAAGTAAGAGGGGTCAAGTATGTATGAGTCTCTGCAGCCCACAAATGAGGAATCAGTTTAAGACTGGCAGGGGATAGAAAGGCCTATCATAGGGAACTGA